TATTCAGCAGAAGATAATGTCTTCACAAAGCACAAGAACATCAGCATCAATACATTTCGAAGCTTTTAGAATCTGTAAATGATGGATTTGGGGTTAAAAAAAAAAGTCTGCCTATTTAGAACATTTATAATGCAGACAACCAAAAACAGGCCGTGCTGCTTTTCCATTTTCAGTCATGAACATTGGATATTGAATCAATAATAAGCCTTCTCTCTGTAGGGAGACAAAACCTCTGTGGATAAAACCATCCGTCCCCGTGATTCATAATCTAATAGGCCCTCATCATCTCCTCCCATCACAGCAGTACATGTGCAAAGATTTTCTGAGGAGGACTCCTTTGGTAATTATCATGGTTCAAGAGATTTTGCGTCATTCGAGATTACAAAATCATTTTCTCTCTGCTTATTGTGGTAAAGAAATGAGTTTCCGTCCTGTTTTTGAGTCTTGTCTGTCAGTAAAAATCCGTCCAATTTCGCAGTCAGCCCGGTAATTGTTCAGTGTTGTGCAAAATCTCATTGTAGGGAACATATGCGTGCCTCAGGCCTCTCACGTATACGAAGATGAAGTGACTGTAGGGAGGTGGATGTATCATCGAGCACGGGCTGCTGATTTATGCTAACGGTCGTGTACATTCTTGTCACATGAGGAATTGGTGGCAAAAGAACAATGCAGGTCTGAAAGGGAACTCTTTCCACTGCAGGAACAATTTCTGAAATAGGACGGATCAGAACTCCTTTCTCACATTTACAGATCCACAATTTAAAATATGATCACACCGGCCTGATAGAGGTATGAGATAGTGTAACATGGACTCCTCCCCACAAGTCATTTAAAATGTGGAGGTGCTAAAATAAAATTGCTGCTTGATTTAGGTTTTTAGGAACATGATAGAAAATATGCAAAAAGAAAAAACAGGACTCTTTTTCTCATTGAGTGCATCTAACTTTTTTCTTAGCACTTAATAAGCTCCAGTTTGAGTCACTTTTGCAGGGTGATTTTCGGCGTTCCTTTTGGGGGCGGTGTGAGTTGTGCTAATGTTTTTGCCATTTAGAAAGCATAATGTATGGAGTTCACATTTCAGAAGAAATTAGAAAGGGAGCAAAAACGTGTGTGTGCTTGTGTGTGCACACACACCTGCTGTGAGAAGTGTGAGACCTCAGGTTTTATGTAAAGTAGTGTACATTTGTTGCTGTTTTTTTAAAGAAACTTCTGATCTCACTTTGAAAAAAATCGATAGACCCCCAGTTTTTGGGTAAAAAAAAAAGATCTGCTCAGCTTACGTTGCATTCAGAGAGATTTAGAAGTGAATGTGGTTTTGTGGCATGGTTTGTCAACTATGTTGTTAAAACAAGCAACGGAAAGTGATTACTGACTCTTTGGGGAGGATTAGCCTCAAACATATTTTATCCACTGGGATTTTATGTCAAGCTGAGCAAACCTGAGAATTCATTTAGGTTTACAATTGAAATCCAGCTGTCTTGTTAAGCGATTTTCAAACAAAATCACTGTTTTGTGGTTGCTAGTTACTAAAGACATCTAAATATGAGCAGAAAACAATTATTTTTCCAGCATAAAACATTTTTCATGCGTGGCGTCATTTCCCTAAAATGAATTTATCCTCTTGACAACTCCTTACATGCATTTATGCCTTCAGTCTAACAATTTATTTGGTTAAACATGTATGATTTCCATAACCTTATGAGCTTTACGTGGCATTTCGCATCTCTGTGGTTTGAGTGCCTCCTATCCAGCTTTAATTCATTCCCTTTGTGCTTTGGAGCCCCCCCAGGGTTCAGTGTCATGCTCAATAAACTGCTCCTGTCAGAAGCACTTTGCCGAGTCGCTGTGGAGGTGCCGCTCTCTGAACCTCTCCCCGGGAGAGAAAGACCTGTTTCCAAATGATTGGCCTCACAATAGAAGAGCAAGCGCTGAGCATAGCTCGCAGGGGTCCGAGTCTTAATTTGTTGTGATGATGTGTCGGGCTTCCTTTCGTCTTCTCCACTGCCTGAGGTCCGGTGCGCTCTTCACTGGCCCTTTGCAGCATTTATCTTGGTTGTGCGAGCACATAACCCTGTGTCCAATGGGACAAAAGGTGCCTCGGCTTTTGAGAAAGACTTGGCTTGTCTAACGTGTACGTGGCTCTATAAAGTTTCTCTCAGATGAGAGAGGAAACGCACTTTGACTGACAGACAGCCTGACTCAGCAAGAAATTCTAAGACTCTTACATTTCTGCTTTTGTGGACGGAAAACCTCCATCAAACCGTAATCATAACAGTTAATCCTCATTTTTTAAATGTTCTTTCCAACTGTGTTCACAAAGATTTGAGAATTTCAAAAGAAAATTCTTCTTTTTATAGATACAAATGGTGTACATGATTCATCCTGAATGTAGTGGCTCTGAGGCTGCCTTTTAATATCAATAATGGAAGATCATTTGAAATGTTTCTCTGCTTTTTGTGTATTTACTTTGTCCTTTTGAAGCACTAAAGCTTCTATTTCTTCCATTTATTTTCCTTTGTTGCTTTTTTGTGCGACTGAAATCTTTTCATTTTATCCCTCCCTGACTTGGTGGGGACGCATACGTGTGAAGCGAAATGCAGATTTGTTTTATAGTCTTGGATTTTTTTTCAAAGCAGCCCATAATGCTTACAGGGGCCTCAGAATGCATCCTAGGATACAGTCTGTTTTGAATAATAGATCGTGTCTGGTTGAAATGAAAAATGAGTAAACTATTGTCAAGAAGAATAAACTCTGGATACGCTCTAGTGTTTTCTTTGTTGTACAAAGCGGCCGATACATTCTTTTTGCTCCTATTTGTCTCCATGTGCTGTCATTAAGTCTACACGGTGGGGCACATATCCTGCAGTTTGTTAAACAGATCTTTGATCAGCAGCCTAGTGAAGCAGTAAATAGAAAAAAACAGCATTAATAATTTCATTTACTGAGTTCAAAGCCTAGCAAGACATCAAGTTGCTTTTCTTTGAGGTTCAGTTTCAATTAAACCAAAGAGAAATTCATTTGTTATTTAAAATACGGACTACTCTCACATCATCTTCAAATACTGATTGTTATTCTTGAAATATATTCTACTGTCTGTCCAATGAGAAAGGTCACTGAGACCTTTTATTGTCTTCTGTGGAAATGCTACATGTTGAAGTTGCAGATATATATATATATCGCATCCAAAGCCTAAATAGTTAAATAGGAAAGAAATCTGCAGATTTCGTGACAATTTGTAAAATATGTAACAAAAAGTGGCAGAACATTAAAAGCATCCATCATGTCTGAAAGAGAAGCACAGTGCTTTTACCCAGTAATAGATGTGGCATACTTAGGTTGACCCGTGGACATACAGAACAGTCAGATTAACTTACAGTGAAGCACAAGACTGGCGATTGTTCAGAAAAATCCAAAAGACTTCATGAATAAATCAGTGCCAGCTTTGTTCAGAGTTTCTCGGTTCTGCAGTGTTGATTAGCGGCAGCACCAAGTTCTTTTGTCAAATCCTCGACATGCAGCTGATTCAACTGGTCTGCTTATAAAACATTATATTCACCACGTTATTAAAGCAATGTATGCTATGTGCTGGAATAGGGTCCACCCTCTCCTGAAACCCTGCCTTGGAAGAAATGGGTATAGAAAATGGCTGCATGGATTTTTGTTAGCTTGTAACCTTTATGCTGCAACTCCACCAACCACTAGGAATCAGTGGTATGGATGGATGGATGGATGGATGGATGGATGGATGGATGGATGGATG